TAGGCCCTCTGTGATTTACTGATAGATAGCGATCTACTTATTGGGAACCCATGGTTCTAGAGAAGTGCCTCCAGAAACATACTTTAAATCAAATCTACACTGAAAACTCAGAGGAAGTCAGACCACGCTGTCTGCACGTGTCACCATCTTCTAATCTGGGGATAATGTCCAAGTGAAGAGAGTGTGGATGGCAAAAGAAACTTCAGATAATCCATGCTGAGTAATGGGACGAGTGATGGACTTCCTGTATGCTCATGACAGCTGCCACCTCCCTGCATGAATAGTCCTACTGTTGTAAATGTGTTAGTATCGTATTCGTCATAGATTCTGAAAGATAGCTAACGTCTTATGTTGGACAAACTATACTGATCTAACTGCTCGACATAAACAGAGGTGTTTTGATGACAAGAAGCCATAAAAGACAAAAAGCACATCTGGACTGGGTATGCACATGCATCCACACGCACAAAAACAAACAAATACTACACTTAAATACCACCAGACATAGAGACATGTGAAAACAAACTCTACATAACAAATCTATGCAAGTGTAATATCATTGTCACCCTGAGGATACAAACAAAATGAAAATGGTAACATGACTCTGTACTATCACCACCCAGAAATCTCATGATGGGATATGTTGAACGGAGATTCCCATTGTATCCCAGAATGCTTTTCATCTAATGCCTGTCTCGGGGGTTTTCTATAGTCTATGCAAGAATGCGTCTATTCTTTTGGCCCATGGGAGTCAAGACCTTTAAAACCTATGTTAATGTTGTAATATACATCAGAACGGAAGAGTAACCGCGCGGAAACTAACTCACTGTGAAACAGGCGAGACAGTTTTCAAGTCCCTGAAGCCACATAAGTTTGGTTGCATTTGAAGTAGACGCAGTAATGACTGCAGGATACAGAGAAGAAAAGAAAAGAAAAGAAAAAAACTAAAATAAATAGACTAGCACAAGGCCACAGATAGGCTTGACTAACAATCCTTTTCTGACAGGTTTGCATAATGCTTTAGGCCAGAGAACTACTGAGAGAAAAAAAGCCAGTGTTAGAGGAACAGAAAAAAACAAATTGTAAAAAACAGAAGGAGGGAAAAAATTAAGCAGAATCAATGAAACTCGCATAAAGAAGGGCGGGGGAGTGTGTGTGTCTGTGCTGATACTGAGAAAAGAGTTCTACACACTGCTGGAGAATGGACCAGCAGCTCGCTCAGCACACAGCTGCTTAGTGGGAGAATAGAGCTCTAACAGGGCCTTTTGCCTGCAACACAAAGACACTGCAAATGTGCACGTCTTAAGCACACACTGAAGTGCAGAGTGATCCCTCTTTGAAACCAACTGCCATAAATTATGTCTATCCCAAGTACAAAAACAAGAGTATCACCTGTTTATGTCATATATATATATATATCTCAACTTGTATATTATACATTTGGACTGGTTCAATTTGTTATACAAAGTAAATACTATTCTTCTACCACTACAGCAGACTTTGTGTTTTGCACCATTAGAAAACATTTCCGAGGCTTATGAGTAGTAAAACACTCAAAGTAAACACTGCATTCTGCAGACTCGCATGATATAATTTCATAGATATAATTGCTTGTTTCCACCAAGCTGTAACTTTCCACTGCTGGTATGTTCGAAATCAAAACCCACCATAAGGACAATATGTTTTTTCCAAAACTAAAGAGAATCAAAACAAGTTTCCTGGGCTACTATTTGTAAGAACTTTATCTTTATCGTCACTTCAGCGATAGTAGAGCTGCAGAGATAAACGTAATTACTTCAGTTCCCACTCTCCTTTCTAACCCATACTTTAGCAACACTTTCTGTTTATGAGGCAGAATGCCTGTGCACAACTACTGACATTTCCTGTTGAGTTAACCAGACCAATCATCTTCCCAGAAAGTCAAGGACAACCGCTGCTGCTACGATGGTGGCAAGAAACACATGCAGGTATTTCTAATTAGGCTTCCTTGGTACCAAACCAGTTCTTCAAGGCACTATATTTATGGTGTCCACAAAGATCAACTGACTGCAGTGGAATGATAGAATGGCCAAACACACTGCTAACATCCAAAGAAAATGACAGTGACAAATGTTCATCTCTATAGCCACAATGGCATGTTTTTTAAATGACTAACTAGGTTTGAAAAAAGCTGATCATAAAGTCATTGCAAAATGAGTACGAGCCCAACCCTTTGTTTCTAAAACAAAACATCAGTGCACAAAGTAGGTATTACGTGTATTTACTTGATAATTAAACATTAAAGAGCAATGGAAGAAACTGCTGTGCATGTCGGTACTTGAATTCAATTTGTAGATGCTTTGTTGTTGTAGGGAGAGGTCAAATAAATTCAGTGTACACAACTCTGTATGGTATTGACATTTAAACATAAACATGGATGGGGCACTGGAGAAAAGGCCTTTACGTCTTTGCTCATGCACAAAAAGCAAAAGTTATAAAGAAAATGTTTTCTTTCAACTGATAGATATAGAAAGACATTCTCAGTACAGGCTGGAGGACAGGTTTAAATGCATGGAAGAGACAGATGGCACTGATGTCGAGTGTTGACGCAATACGGTTTTTTTTTCTAAACCATGCAATTCAGATAATGGAGGCATTATTTAACAGTTTGGGCAAACTGAACTGACCGAACTTCATCTGTATGACTGATAGATGTGGCGTTAGCTAACACTGGGCTTGTGTTCAGTTTCACCGCAGCAGGGTTATTAGAAACTTTTATGCAACAACAGGTTGGTCAGGCTGGTTCTCATAATCCCAATACACATTACAGCTCAGCCACATGTAATGACTAAACTGGAGTAAATAAATTACCAGTACATTCACACACACAGTGCTGCTGCTGCTGCTGAGAGATGAGGCGCATCTGACTTTTAAAGGGTTGCAGAGATTGAGAACAGATTGCAACTTCAGAGTTGAGCATTTAAGCACAATTGAGAGCAAAGACATTAACACTTTACATGAGTAGAAATCAAGATAAAATGATGATGCATGTTTGATCAAATAACCTCCTACCTGGCCAGCAGAGGGTTTTTCGAAGTTAAGGCATCGTCAGCGAAAAAACATAATTAGGTAGACAGAAAAGAGAGTCATGGGGTTTATATAATTATATAATATACATATAGATAAAAGTAATTTAAAAGTTTTGCAGTTGCAGCCGCCAGCGCTAACACTGGACAGAACTGCGAGCAGCTGAGCGCTCGCTGCTGCTTTCAAGCCTTAGCATTGATTGTAACAATATCCGCGTACGGACGAACCACGTCTACCGGGCGAAGGTTGGGAAGCGTCCCTGAAGAAACTCTACATTTAATTTACATTATTTACAAAGACACAATGACCTGTTATATTTGATAAGTACGTTTTTATATAATTAGTAATACCAGTAACGTTCAGAGTGTAACAGTAACGCACGTCTATAAGTTTAGACTGGACAGCACTAACTCCCCTCTACCTTGGTTTGTTCCACAGTGTTCCTCCCCAAGGCATTTACGATACTTCTACGTCTCCACCCCCTTTCAGTTATGCTTTCTATTGATGGTAATGGTGCCAAACGCAGTTGACGTCCTGGTACAACAGAGCTAAACTTCACAAGGGCAATGTTTCATTTTACTGCATCAATGACTCAACACATTATATAATTTACCAAATGGTTCACAGCCCAAGTATTAAAAAAAAAAAACCCGTACTTGTTTGTGGGTAGTAATGCACAGAAACCCTCCACTAACTTTTAGAAATTGTGGTGTCGCCTTTTACATTTCATTACCTTATACCTATTAAAATATTACAGGTATTGTGCACAATTACACTACCACAACATTTGAATATTTCCATAAACTCCAAATCCAGTTTTGTAAAACTGGGAATTACCTTTAATCCTATGTTTGTTATTAAAAAAGCAGTCGTAAATGTTGATGTAAAAAAAAAAGTAAGTCAGTGTGAAAAACATTAAAAACAAAAAACCTCAACTCTACTCTAACTTTAAAACACTACTGCTATGCTGCCATGTAATTCAATCAACCCACAAAATCCTATAAAAGTGTATCCAGGGAGGATGGAAATAAAATAAATACTTGTAGTATCACACTTGAAAGATTAACATTAACAATGCGGTCTAAAAGCATAGGCCTTAACACTGAGTAGAATAAACTCACTGCTTTAACATGCCAAGACAAAAAAAAAATCAAAATATCATGTTGCTGACAAAAGTGAACATTTTGAACATCTCATTTGAAACTGGCAGGACGTCTCTTTAAGTATCCTTTACACAGTAGCTAAAATGTCACTCCCTATTCGAGTCCAAAATGTGGTCACTGACAAACGCAGATTGATATTGCGTTGTAATTATATTACAGAGCCATAAAAACCTATTAAATTCAGACAAATTTAATATGTGGAAGATTATCACCAAGGTAAACACAACTGCTGTTTACTCTTGTGTAGCTCAAACAGTTATTTACTGACAAAGGTTCAAATGTGATAAAGGGAGAAGATGTTCATTTTAAAGTGAGATTTCACTTCACGGGGAAATCTCTAGGAGAGTAAACTTAATGCAGACCTAGGCAGGATACCTAGCACCTTGTAAAATTCCAAGCTGTAATTCCTGTAAAGCTTGCGTGTGTTTACTCAACAGGATGTCTCAACATCAACGGCTCCCATTGGGCCAGTGGCCCAGTTTGCAATTAGGATCCTGTGCTTGGCAGTTATTAATGATGCCATTGAGAGAGGAAATGGCAGACAAGCTCCTCAGCTCACAGACGCTACGGCCTCCTGTTCATTCATTTTGTCAGAAGCCCTTAATCATGGTCTTTAGGACCCCAAGCGCTGCTGGATTCCGGTTAAGCCAATTAGGTTGGGGGTATTTTTCATACAGTGCTAAAGATGGATGCAATTAAGTATTTGGTTGGACAGAAGAATGGCAGTTGTAGTCAAGGGTCAGGAAACACCAATGGATCCTGGCAAAGTCATTTTGGACAGAATTAGTATGATTTATGAAATAAATGTTAAGTACAACTTTTGCTTTTCAGGTTAAACAGTCATCTACCACAAACAAAGCTAGGGTGATTTAATGAGTAACACTCATTTGTCAATGTAGCCATATTAGAGATAAACACGTGTCAGTGGGTTCACACACGGTGAAGATGAAGTGTTCACATGAGAAAGGCATTAAATGTCAAAATGCACAAGAACTGATGATCAGATGTAAACTGTTTCATGTGAAAGCTTTTCCCTTCACCCAGAATTTAATTTACTATATGCAAACCATCAGCTGTTTGCAAAGGTTATTTGATTTAGCTTAAAATCCTTCTTGAGCTGATTTTATCTATGAAAACTGTAACAGAGGGACAATTAAACAGTGTTACAGGTCATGACCACAAGACCCAGTAAAGTGAACATTCCAAAACCCAGGTGTGTTTTTTTTAATTGTACACCATCCCCTAACTTCAGCTTTAAGTATAAACAAGTAATTCTTATGTTACGTATTTGGATGACGGATAAAACACATTAAACATTATCAAAAGTACATCATTTTTGAGTCAGAATATTTTGAATAAAAAAATCATATTTTATTGCAATGCTTCTCAAAGTGTGGTGCAGACCCCACTGGAGGGGAACAGAGACATTAGTGGTGGGGCACGAGAAGCAGAAGGATATTTTAGAGGTTCAAGTGAAGATGGCACAACTGCATTTTATTTTCTCATTTTCAACTTAGTTTTTTTTTATGTTATTGATTTGGATTCATTTTAAAATATGACATTACTTGGTGTTAGTTTGATACATTTAAAATCCTCCTCCTGTACATATAGATCAATGTACCCGCTTGAAGATGAGTGCTGTCACAGAGTTGCCCTTCTTGCCCCCGAATTGGAAACTGGGTGTTGGCAACTCTTGTTCAAACTGAAATCCTGAGTGGTAACACAAGAATGAAAAAAAAAAACAGGTCAAGACATGTGTATTATGCAAACAACCAGAGCATCAACACAGTCTTTGTACACAAAGGCCACAACACACAGGGGAGAAGAATGTGGAGCAAGGAACTATCAATCCACCATCTGTGGTGCTTCCTGGGGCTTCAAGGTGACAGATGAGATCTCACAGGCCTTTGGCCCCCTGCAGGCTCTCCAGTGTGACTACACTAGGGTGAATTGCAATAAATGAAAGCCTCCTGATAAGTGCTCCTGTCAATTGCAGCATAAGAGCTTGGCAGATGACTGCGATGTTTGCAAAGCCTCTGCCTTGTTCAGGGTCAGACAACAAACGTGCAGATGTGTAACCAGATATGCACACTACAAATCACACTGACACTTGCCTGGAAGCCTTCAACCTCATGACAACCTTTCTAACATTTACTCAACAATTTAAACAAGCATTTTATATGTTTTGAAAGTGATTTCTACAGATAAAATGCCACCTGTTGTGTGATATTTGCAAGGCGACGTTGCCCATTACCATTTATTCTCTTTATTCCAAGGCGACGTTGCCCATTACCATTTATATGTATATTATGTTATATTGTTACATTTAAGAAAAGTATTAACCCATCTACAGTACAATTTAAGAAAAATATTAAAGAAAAATATGGCATCTAATGTTAGGGAAATATGATAACTATTCAACTGACAGAATAAGACATTGGTTTCAAATGTGGAGTCCGACACCAATTAGCCAACGGTTGACTGAAATATAATTCTAATAATATAACTTTCTGTATTAGTGCAACAAGAACAAAGAGTATAATTAATATTTTTAAAAACTAACCTAAACCTAAAATGAACCTTCTCTACCAGACACCACCATTGTTATAGAGCAATGCTGGTGTACATCGAGCAGTCCTTTCACAATTTGTTCAACATAAATGTGAAAACAACACTTGTTATCAACCCTTCTACTTTACCTTCCCTGAATCTGCTTAGCAGTTGCTCTTTGGTCCAGTTGCAGGACGTGAGTGCAAAGATTCCTCCTTCCTTAAGGGCCCCTCTTAAAGTCTGGACATAGAGTTCTTTGCCCTCCTCCGTCTTCTCTGGGTTTAGACTTATTGCATCAAACGTCCCTTTGTCGATGCAGATGTCAAAATCCTTCAGCTCTCCTTGACAGTTTAAGAAATCCATTTCCTAAGAAAAAGAAAAAGCGTACACATTAGGAAATAAGTTCAAAATAGACATTTGAGTAGCAGAGCTGTCGAGTACATGCAGCCTCAGGAAAGTGGCTTAGATACCTGGGGAAAAATCTTTCAGCGTTGACTAAGATTAGCTGCGTTTTACCTCATTGGTTCCTTTTCAAACTAATTTCCAGCTGTCGACATGAGAGCAGTTAATTCTGAGAAAGTTGGCTGACGTATTCTCAGTGAAAGGAGTCCTTCACAGGAACAGAGGGCAGAACACCAGATCTCTTGGGTGACCTCAAGATCAACAAACTCGCAAATCACAGGTCACTGAATTTATGAGGAAGGATTAAGAGTCATTCACTTAAGACAGATATGCTGATATATTGGTGCAGCTGACCTGAGGTTCATTTTAAGTGTGACCCGAATGAGGGGAAAATAAAATGGGACTATGTCCAGTGATTGTATAAAGGACAAGAGTCTGTGTGGGAGATGGCAGTGACTCATGGAAACTAGAGATGGTTTTGAAACTCAAGGCTGACCTTTGATGAGAGCAGGACAAGGAAGATATTTCTCAACTAACAACACATACGACACACAAACACTGGCATATTTGCACAGATTCGCATGACATTCCGTAGTGCTGGAAAATGATGCCAACATACCATCTCTTTCTCCCACTCACATGTGCACACAAACCCACTGTGTGCTTGCACTGTCCGGCTAATGTCAATATTGACTTCAATGGCAGGCTTTCTTCTGAAGCAAAATACACACTGTCAGAGAAGTGTTATGCATATAACGTACACACAACTGTGTCATGCACACAAGAGGAAAACTCACTCATCACATTCCCTATGGACCTGCTGGCATTTAGACGTGGATATGTAGGCATGTGTTTATGTTAGACTTGGCCACTGGTTTTGGGTTTTGTGGTGAGTTCCTCTAAATGGACGGCAGACTTCCAAACACTTTCAGTGCCACCTAGCTTATTTCCCAACTCTCCCACATGGTAAACACACAGGAGTTTCCTCCAACCCTGCTCTGAGGCCACAAAGCCTCTCAGCATGCTGAAAGCTATGTTATTGGCAATTAAAAGACCATCAGCATTCTGATGTGCATTCTTACATTTTACACTATATTTGCTATTGGTTTGACTATATATTTTTTTTAAATTATTATTATTAGCTAATGATTGAACCTACCTTTACAATCACATCTGTCAAATCTTCTGCCTGCAGGACATTTCTGGCCAACTCTACAGATGCTGGTGAATAATCTATACCCATCAGATTCCTGTATCCATGTCTTGCCTTGTAAAGAAAAAGGAAAAGTTAAGGACAACATCACATAAACTATAATATTTTTACTTAAACACTTACATAATATCACATTTAGCAAGATTTATCACTGTCATGAGATTATCTGTTATCAGAGACATACCCCTAATAATAATTTAGATCAATATGATGCCTTTTATTTTATTTAAATCACATGTCAAACTAAAGGCCAGGTCATTGTGACAGGCCCATGGGAGCTTGATTAATTGTCTTATTATAAAGCACTGTGCTCCTTCACAGCATAAATTGACTGACTAAACTACCACAACAAAATTGCATTTCATCATGACGAGAGATCCATGAGCAGAGATCTACTCAGTCTACTACTCAATTCATGTAAGCATAATTATATTTTTGTAATCAGTAAAAATGACATTTTTATGACATAGAGCACTGCACAATATTAGTAACTTTAATAAATAATAATCAATTGCAGAAACATTTATAAATATGTTATGCACTAATTACATCTATACAGTCTTCCAGTTTCAACCGCTCCTTAGAGAGCAACAACATTGTTGGTGAAAATGAGTTTAACATCACTGATTTAAATAAATAAAATGCTAAAAAAAAATTATGTTTGGGTAAGGGGAACTATGGGTGATTATTTTATTAAAAGCATTCAAACCAGTTCAATTAAAAAGGCTGCATTTCCAGTGCCAATGTCCAGAATGGCTGCATTCTCTGGAATCTTGGATTTGTCCATCCAGTGCAGCACACGGCTCATGCTTTCCTCACCAAACCTGTATAATTCACAAATTTAGATATCAGAAAAAATTAAACTGGATGACAAGTTCAAATGTTATATTTAACATTAAATGTCATTCTGCCAATAGATTTACACTTGTACTTTGTTTACCATATCTCACCAACATCGCCAATGTCCTTGAAAGTCTCAAGTTCTTTCTGGTACACGCTTTCCCAGCTGTGGAACGAAAGATATTGGTGACATGTATTAATGATTTGTGACAGTGTTCAGTGGTTTGAACTTAACTACATATTCATGAACCCTTAGTCACTCAAAGTTATTCTGACATCTTTGACTGAAACAGAAGAAATGAATCTAAAAGAACACTACACTGTAAAACAGAAAGCTGTGAAAATGACATACTGGAATGGTAAAGAAGAATACACCTTTTTCTGTACACAGAAGAAGTCTAGTGTACCAAAGCAGTTGGCAGCAATGCTCAGTTTCCACTGATGGTTTGTCTTTCCACATGCCAAGGATTCAAAGCATTCTTTGACAGTAGGAAAGAACATTTTTCTGAAGATATGGCGAACAGAGGAATTTACTGTAGTAGTACAAAGGATAATATTTTAACAATATAATGGTAAAATAAATTAAAAGAGTAATAAAATGAGCAGTAGTTATCATGCCATTGTTGCTATAACAATAGCAACAATGGCATGACAATGAAGAAATTCAAAAAGTAAAATGATAATACTGCAGCAAAATATTACATTGGTTATAATGAGCATTGAAATTTCAATTTAGCAAAGTATGTGTTTTGTGAAGGGTAAAGTGTAAAATATAAAACACTAAGACTACTACTATCTAAATAAGATATGTAGTATGAGGAGTCAATTAGAAATGTCCTGCTTCGAGTTAAAGTACTTAGGAAATGTTTCTAAAATAGTTTTCACATTTTTACAGTAAAGATATTGTAAACAGTACAGTGGATTGTCTAAATGAAGTGAATATGAATAGTAAGGATTTATCTTTGAAGAAGAAGAAGCCTTCATAAATTTTAGAATCTGATAGACCATAAGAAAGTTAATCAAACAGACATTTACTAAGACTCAACACCAAGTACTTTGCAAAGATACTTTTCAGGAGCACAATAGTGCGATTGCCTTCAAAATGTATCGTGCATCATGAAGAGGAAAAACCAGACACCGAGTTTGTTTCAGTGGCGCTTTGGTCCAGAGGCAATGTCTCTGTCATTGGTGTGGAATCCTGGTTAGGTACCTTCCAGTGAACTCACCACCCACAGGAAGCTTTAGGTACGGTGCAATGTGATTTGACCCTTTCATTCTTAATTAAAAGAAGTGATTTTTAATACTGCGACACGGTCGACTGCTGGTTTTAGATAAGAGTGTAGCAGCTTGCCTGGGTGCAAACTATTACCTGTAACTTTTTAAAAACAATTTTTACCAAGGCTATTGGACATTTAGTCTTCTGAAAATATTTTTTAGCAGTGAATAATTTTGGCGGAGAATTAAACTTAATTTCTGAACTTCTCATAAAAGATGAAATTACTTGATTTACTGAGAACCCGTACATGTGTGTAACTGTAAAGCACGGTTGTTGTCATTGAAGGCTGTAAAACTGTTTTCGAAAAGGACCGAACAGCAGCAAACCGGAACACTTACTAATCTTTTGTTCCCAGTTTTGACGTTTTAAAATCATTCTGTAGGCAGTTGTCTTCCTCCTGGTCTGATATATTTTCACAGGCATGAGGGTCTTCAATGTTGTCATCCATGCTGATGCTATTTATGCGGCGTGCTCTCCTTCTTCTTTGAATTTTAACATCTATTATTACTCATTACTGCCTCCGTCTGGGTGTGTCTAACATTACAACTTTGCGATTTTGTGGTATATTCATGGGCACACAATGAGATCTGTCATTAATTAAAATATAAATGTAATGTTTCTGTCCGAATATACTTATTTTTAATTTAAGTTATCTTTATAAATATATGTGTAAAACAACGGTCTGTGTAAATTTGTAAATTAGACGTTTAGTTGGTTAAACTTTTAATTTAGATCACACAGTTGAATAGTGAGTACTGTAACATACTGTAATAAATGGCTTCTGTTTTTAGGAAACATTTTTAAATATATAACTAAACCAAAGCTCATGTTAGGATTTAATAGCATTACCTTTGTCGGTAGGGTGTACTTGTGTGTTCATTGTGGAGTTAATCTTTCACTTTTTCCTTACGACTTTTTCTTAGTTAATTACATTTAATTTATTATCTTCATAGTTTATAGAATACTAACACTTCGTTTCAGTTGCAATTCTAATTTTTTTAATTATCACAAAAATATTAAAGCCACTGCACTTATTTCTATTGTACGTGAATCAGCCCTGAAACCTGATTATTTTAATTGAAGCGACATTAAACGCCACATACATTTTTTAATTATTTTTATTTATTCCTCTCTGACATTTCTAATTTCGCATACACTTCCCGGCGTACCTTGCGTTTGAGCAGAGCGCTTGCAACCACAGGGGGTATCGGGATTGATAGGGATGTTTCCATCATGGCGGCGTCCATTTCAGGTTATACTTTTAGTTCTGTGTGTTATCACAGCGCCAACAGTAACTCAGATCACGTGAGTATTCTGACTTGTTTTGACAAACTCTGGTGCAGCGGTAATTGAAGTGTGCAGAGCGTGGCGGCTTGTCTGCAGTTTCAGCAGCGGCTTTAGTTTGTGTTGTTTTCCAGTGTCATCATCATCATCCTGTTGCTGGCTAGTTAGCACTGGTGCCGTCTATTTACCGGCGGATAGTGATTTATCACACAATGTAGATACAGCTGATCATTTTACAATACCCTCACATGACCCAGGTTACACAGGTGTTAAACGACAAGTCTCAACACCCGGTGTTAATAGTTTCAGGAAATACTCTGTTGTTAGCTGCTTAGCCTGCTAGCTGAGCTACCAAGTCCAGTGACTTCCGTGTATCGGTGCTAAAATCCACTGTCACCTCCAGCAGTATCCGATAACACGTTAGATTCGAAACACTTACACATGACTCTGCAGCCGTGCTTGTGTGTTTGTTTCTCTTATTTCCGTTTCATATAAAAATGAACCGTTGCTGCAGTTAAGTCAACAGAAAAGTAGCTGTAATATACGTGTAAAATATCGTGTTTCGGCTTTGGAAATTTAAAAAAAGTGATGTTAGTATTCGACTAAAACGTTAACCTTTAGAGCAGAGCAAAGTCACGTGAGAGCTATTTCCCCCAGAATGTCTTGCTTTATTTATGTCAACTTTTCACATGTAGCTGGTCTCTGCATTCCTCACATACAAGGCTGTGCCATGTAAACACACTCCTGTCAGTGGTTTGCAAAGTAATCTTTCCACATTGGTTTAAAATTTTAATTTTTTTAAATGAAAACATTCTTCTTCAAATAATACACTCTCTGAAGTTTCCTTATATATAACCCAACCTAATCAGGCTTAATGATTCTAAGAAGTACATAAAATTATGTTATCTATGTACTCCTCACAAAATAAATCTGACTAATTAAAGAGGGAAGAAAAATATTCTGAATAATGGCTTCATTGCTCTGAATTAAAATATTGGTGTATAGTTTTTATTTAATGTCTACAAAATGTTTTTATCAATTGCACAATTTGTTTACATCTAGCCGCTGCATGTTTTACATACATATCTGTCAAAGCCATGCTCTTGAAAAAGCAAGGTTTTCTTTGTAGTATTACATTTTAAAAAAGAAATGGTAATAATAAGCAAGGTTTTTACAGGAGGGCTTCCTGTTAGGAGAAGTAAGACAAGAGGAGACTATCAGCATCAGTGATGCACAGATCAGCACTGCAGAACTGCTCCAGGTAGTAGGTAAGCCCTTGAAAAGTCTTAAATTCTTAAGAATCTTAAATTCACATCTTCACTGGTGTATTCCTATAAGGACATTTGAACATGGCTTTACAAATAAAATTAAAATGCAGTAAATTATAATAAAAACTGCCAGAGGTTTAATGGTTGTTTATTATCATTTTACAATGATTGCTTTTCTAATTTATGTCTTCCTAAAGTAAGATCTAACTGGCAAACACGTTCTACTACTGTATATTGCATGTACCCCGTGGTTATGTTAAGGACGCTTGTTATAAATTCTTTGTATTTATTTTGTAACTATAACATACCTTACAACGTTTCTCCCACAGAAATCCATAACCATGAGCCGTGTGCGCACCTGTTTAGGTGAGACATTAGAATTTATATTCCTAAATAACAAGTTATTTTAAGTTCACATGTGGTTGTGTGTTGTGATTTAAGTATCATTATAAGCATGTCATGAATGTCAATAAAAGACCTGTGTTATAAGCTGTAAAAACAGGGTTGCAACAAGTTCCTCTTAGATTGACATCAGACAGTAGATGGCTCTATCTGATAAGAACCATAAAGAGGTTGAACGAGGCCGAGTTCATTTGTTCTGTGTTTCTTTTCCCTTCAGCTTTTATGACTACGCAGGCACAGTCAATGAAGAAAATCTCAACAGAATTCTTAAAGACAGACGGAAAGTGAGTTTTGTTTGCATGCTATTAACTATACATTGTGACTTATAATTGTACAGTTCATGTTATGGCACAAAAGCTCAGCACAGGCATTAGCTGAATTTAAATGTATAAACTAATGCAGTTTGATTTTTAGTCCCTTCTAGACCAACCAAGGTGTTTTTTCTGGACACACAACATAAAAGAAAAAAATAATCACAATTTCTAACATGATTATTTGATGTTTATTTTGGTCGGATTCCATTTGATGATCACCGTTCTAGGCATTCTGTGAATAAGTACATACTCATTTTTTTGTTTGCTCATGTAGAATGTTATCGGTTGGTACCGGTTCCGGAGAAACACGCAGCAACAGATGTCGTTTAGGGAACAAATCATCCACAAACAGCTGGTTCAGCTGCTGGGAGTGCCGGACCTCGTCTTCCTTCTTTTTAGCTTCATCTCTACTGCTAACAGCTCCACACACGCAATGGAGTATGTGCTCTTCAGACCCAGCAGCAGGTAATTACCATCTGTCATGCAATCATGCACACAATGTGTTTGCTTTCTGCGTAGATAATGACTATTTTAAGTGAACTTGTTGGTAGTTGTTATTAGACCAAGTGGCTGTTACAAGATAGGCTTACAGTGGTGGTTTCAATACAGCGAGGAAAAATGGTGATCGTTGAATTGTTATTAGAAATTTGTTCAAATTTGAAATTGTATTTTTTATTTATTAATGTTTGTTTGAGGTCTAATTTGACTTCTATCCATAGCAGGTACAACCAGAGGATCACCCTCACGA